TCATATTTCTTTCGTTATATACTTGAAAGGGCTAACAACATTGTTATAAGAACTGAACGGGATAAACAACTAGGCCAGTAGAAGCATCAAACCAGTTACGATAGCGGCCCGGTTCATTGTTTGGACAGTTATTGATGGACCAAATGATTTTTCACGATTCAAAATAAAATCAGATTAACTACCACATTTGAATTGATTCACTAGCTCACTATTTTTAGTCGCGAATGTTTTTAAAAAAATACTTTAACGTAAATTAAAGATAATCAAATGAGAAATATTAATTTCCTTTTTGCTTCTTCTTCTCTTTTCCAACCTCGTTGTTTTCTTCACGTGGTCCTCCACCGACTGATATCGTGTTGAATTAAAAAATTATAATTTCATTTTCGAGACAATTTGAATAATTTGTTAAATATTTTGGTGATTTAGGATCAATGATAAAATCATTCTTAAATTGTTGTAATATATAAGTCTTATATGTTATATAGAATAAACAGTTCTATAAACGATTAACCAACGATTTTGTAATGGTTAACCAACGAGATTGTAACGGTTTTGAAAACAGATCTAACATCATTCATAATGGAGACCCAAAAATATAGGTGTCAATCGGGCGGGTTTGGGCGGGTTCACGACGGTTTCAAACGGGTCGTGGGTTAATCGGGTTGCGGGTCAAGCAGGTCGGGTTGATCAGGTTGCGGGTTGGTCAAATTGCGGGTCAATCGGGTTCGGGTTGATCGGATTATGGGTTACTCAGGTTACGACATGTCGGGTTGGGGGTTGTTCGGTCCAAATAATTGAGTTATTTTTTATTAGTTATTATACATTTATACTAATTTAAAACAAACTCACCAATCACTATTTTACAATGAAAAAAACATAAAGGTATATTACCAGATTTTACTTGAATATATCTACATCTTAAACAAGTCAATTGTTGAATGTTACTAGTTGTTGCTAAGTTGCAGAGTATTCATTAAGGAAATTACAAAATCAACAAGAACAAATAGTTGAACAACAAGAAGTTAAAAATAGACAACTTGATTGATCACAAACCTATGAAACCATTTCTTAAATCTTGATAGTTGAGACCATTACAAAACATTTAAGCAAATAACAATACAATTAAATAAAGTCAAGTACATAAGGCTCCATTAATCTTGAACATTTTCCTTAGTGCACATCTTAAGATGCCTTGTCAAACACTGGGGGTGCTGAACTAGTACGATATTGTCAGCTTTGGGCCAAGCCCGCACAGATTTACTCGTGGGTGTCCTCCCTAAAAGGCCTCGCACTAATTGAGCTAGGTGGACACTAATATACAAGGGTTCCTTCCCTTGTATTACCGATGTGGTACTTGGATTTTCCCATAACAATCCTCCCTCAAGACAGGGACCATGAACTTTGTGTTCTCACCTCAGCAATTATCTTGATCTACCAAATGCCTTGTATCAATGGGCTTCTCGGTACAAGGACTTTACCAGACACAGAACTCTCTTTTATCTGCTTCCCAAATGCGGACTCTCTTTGATCCGCCAAGCCCAAACATGGACCTCTCTTGGATCCACCAAACCAGACGCAGATCTCAAATCCCAAGGTCACCAAATGAGGGTCCCACCAAACTGACGTCCACCGCCCCGGATCCGCCGAACTATGCTCTGATACCACTTGTCATAATCGAGCCGCTCAATCAGTACGATATTGTCCGCTTTGGGCCAAACCAACACGGTTTTACTCTTGGGTATCCTCCCCAAAAGGCCTCGTACTAACGAGCTTGGTGGACACTTATATACAAGGGTTCCTTCTCTTGTATTTTCCATGTGGTACTTGGATTGCCCCATAACAATCCTCCCCTCAAGACAAGGACCACGAACATTGTGTCCTCTCCTCAGCGATTATCTTGATCCGCCAGACACCTTGTATCGATGGGCCTCTCGGTACAAGGATTTTCCCAGACGCGGAACTCTCTTTGATCCGCCAAACAGACGTGGATCTCTCCTAAATCCACCAGACAGACACAGACCTCCCTTGATCCGCCAAAGCCCAAAAGTGGATCTCTCGTGTATCCACCAAACCAGAAACAGATCTCAAATCCTGAGGTCACCGAATGAGGGTCCCACCAAACTGACATCCACCGTCCTGGACCCGAACCAGGCTCTGATACCACTTGTCAAACACCGAGGTGCTCAATTAGTACGATATTGTCCACTTTTGGCCAAGCCCGCACGAATTTACTCTTGGGTGTCCTCCCCAAAAGGCCTCATACTAATTGGGTTAGGTGGACACTAATATACAAAGGTTTCTTCCCTTGTATTACAGATGTGGTACTTGGATTGTCACATAACATGCCTCCACAATAAAACTTTCCCATTCTTATAAGGGTTGCATAAAAAAAAAATAACCTTCATGCAATGGTTGCATTTAACCTTGACCCTCTCTAATTCAACTTGAGTGAAATTCTCCCAAATTTTGCTTCTTTTACCCGTAACTTCTACAGCTTCTGAAAAAAGAAACGAAGAGAGAAGGGATTACATAATCAAACAAGCAAGAAGCAACTAACATGACTGCTGAAGTTTCAACGAAGGAATTTACTCATTTTGGGACTAATCCTACATGTTTTTTACTCTTTATTCCCCTTGACTAATTGTTAGTCACAATTAAATATCGTGAACAAGATGACAATTTATCTTTCCAAATTTATGCGAAATCGAGAAGGATTTGAAAATATGGATTAAAAAAAACTTCCGACTCCCTATTGTTCTAAAAAAGGAAATTTTAATTACATAAAATTTCCTTCTTACTCTTTTTTTTGGTAAACTATTTCCTTCTTACTCTGATCACACAATTCCAAATTTGGAGTAAAATAATTCCACAATTTCAAATCCTATTACAATGAGACTCATTCCAAATTACTTGCCCAAATATTATGGCAAATAATTTGGCTCTCCGGCGTTTTGTACCAGCCACCAAAATCCAAAAGTTTGCCTATAGGCTCTCCCGCCATCTGTCTAAAAAATTGAAAGTGCGTTGCCAAAGATTCCATTATATATTTTGATATGCCGCGTCAAACAGGGATAGGTTACAGTGATTACTATGGTTACTAAGGGTACATTGGGCATGAAAAAATAAATTGTATTAATTACTTTTTTTAATAAATTTTATTTTAGGTAGTTACAAAAATCTATTAAATACAATTTTATTTCTTTCTCTCACTTCCGTAATTTCCAGCCAGATCCCCTTCCCTTATTTTTCTCAATCTTTCTGCAAAAGAAAAAAAAAACACGAAATCAATACCAATCCATTAGACAATCACTACCACTTTGAAAAACATCAATACCATTGCATAAATAAATATATACCATTACACGAAAACTACCAATATAAACAATCTACCGATATAAATTTAGACCATTTCACAAAAAATCAATATCATTGCAGATTTAATCAATACTAGTACATGCAAATTACTACCATTACATGATAATCAATACCAATGCGACAAAAATAATACCAATGCAACAAAATCAATACCATTGATGCGAGAGGGTCGGAGATAAAAAGATGACCAGCGCCGTCGATTGCTTTGACGACCTCCACGGTCCAGGTCGCTTGTTCATTGACTCCTCCCTGCTGCCGAGTATAGAGAGAGAGAGGAAGGTGGGGTGGAGGAGGAAGGAGGCAGGGACGACGGGGGAGGGGGGTGGGGTGGTTAGGGGAGAGAGGGAGGGACGATAGGGGGAGGGGGTGTGGTGGGATGGGGAGGAAGGATGGAGGGGTGGAGGAGGAAGAGAGGGACGGCAGGGGGAGAGAGGGAGGGACGGCGGGAAGAGGCTGGTGTAGCCATGTCTGCGACGGCCGGCAACTGAAGAGGAAGGGGAGGAATATGACGGTGATTGAAAAGGAAGGAAAGGAATATGATTATTAAGAGTTTGGAAATAATACATGGAAAATCTTATTTCAGGGAAAATAATCAAGTGTGGTTATTATTTTCGTTCTAAAATTATCCTTAATCAATAATGACCGTCAGTTTAATAATCCTGAGAATGGAGAGTGGAGATGTAAGTAGCCACTATGGCTATGGCTACTTAAAAATCAGTAACCATCTCAACTCATCGCGCGCCAACACCCCAAAATTTCAGCTAATGCAATTTTGAAGTCCAGCCTTTCACCCTTTTGCTAATTGCCATATGTTTTTATTTTATTTTATTTTTGATTTTCTACCATCTTTTTAACTTTATCTACATATAATAATTTATACACTAAAATATATTTTATAGTATTATTCGTGTCAATTGGACGGGTTCGAGTTGGATTAATCAGGTCGAGTTAGTTGAGGTGCGTGTCAATTGGATTGTGGGTTAAACGGGTTGCGGATCAATCGGGTTACAGGTCAATCGAGATGCGGGTTATGTGTCTTTGAGTTTTAGTCAAATCGAATTACGGACAGGTTGCCAATCGAGTTTTTTGGACGGGTTAACTCGGATCGGATCATGTTTTGAAACCTATACCCACAAAGTAGGAGTGGGCATACCGTTCGGTAAAACCAAACCGAACCTAATCGAACAGAATATAAACCAAACCAAAATCAAATTAATGTTATCGGTTCGAAATTCGGAAGAGGGTATATTTCGAAAATCATGGTTCTTTCGACTGAACCAAATTTTCGAATTTCAAATCGAAAAACCAAATTATTATTGCAAGCTCCAAATGATGAATTTTTATGTTTCTACTTATTACGAGACTTAATTATTTGAATCATGTTAGTGTTTTATGACTTATGTGTTGAAATATTTGATTTTATCATTAATATGCATATTTATGGTTTACATTATGGGTGAAAAATAATTTAAAAAAGAGAAGATATATACAAGCTACCTCACAAGTTCGGTGTTGTATTGAAAACCAAATCGAACCAAATTCGATTTAAGGTTTGAGAAAATTCGGGACCGAATATGCATAATTTCGGTTCGATTTAAACCGAACCGACCGAATGCCCACCCCTACCACAAAGGAGCTACTTTATTTCATTCCAAACTGGATACAAAAGGGCAACGCCGCCACTACAGAACCGAGTAACGTTGCCACATAAAACATCACACCCGACTCTTAAAACACACTTCCTTTCCACCCTCAACAAACAACAAAACCAGAAGAAGAAAACATAAAACAACGACGACACGACACCACAACACAACGGACTCTATCCAATCTCGTTAGTGTATTGGTCGTTTTTAACTCAGGCTGCCACCTGTCCCGTAACCAGGGAGATGGCCGGTGCCGGTGCCTCCAACTCGGGTATTGTGGCCGGTTTGCTCTCCGGGCAATCCGGACGGGTGGGACCTCGCCACGCCCTCGTCCACGTGTCCGCCAATCGGCTGCCCCGTCCCGTGCCCCGGCATCGCCGACATCTGGTGGGTCCCAGTGGGATAGCCCGGCTGCCCCGTGGCAGAGTGGCTGTATGCGCCGGTGGTCCCATAGTCCCCGATCGTACCGTAACCAGTCCCGCCGGTCCCGCCAGTGCTGTAGTTTCCGTGCCCGCCGGTGAGCTGCTCTCCTTGCTTCGCCGCCGCGTTGTGGGCTTTCGTGCTATGCTTCATCGCCTCGGCCTCGGCGACCCTCTGCTCTTTCTTCTCCCTCGCCATCTCTTTCTGCACAGGGTCGTGTGCTGAAGCCTTCTCGATCTGTCCAAAGGGAAGCCGAGCAAATCAAAATCACACACCATGTGTTCGACGAAATGCCGCACCGTGACACAGAATAATAATTATATCTAGTTAATTAAATTAACTATTACCTTCTCCTGGACGGTGGCTTTGGTCTTCTCCATGCCAGCCTTGGCAGAGGCCCCAATGTTGGAAGCGGTTTCCTTCATGGACTGCATCTTTCCTTCAAAGTTTGTTTCGATTTGACTTCGGATAATTTCTGTTTATGTGTGTGTTTGATTTGGTTTTGGTTTTGGTTTTGGTTTTGATCGCTTAAAACAACTCGATATCCTGCCTTTATATACAAGGTTGGGGGGAAATGTCTGGCCTGCTGGGTTAGTGCCACGTGTCTGTATTGCGGACAAGTGTCAGCCAAGGAAGATACCTATACTAGCTCTCCGCCACGTAGTCTTGGATAAGGGAACTTCGTTGTTGTTCATTGGATGAGCAGGGACTTCCTTGGGACTTGGGGAAAGATAGATATTAAAAAAATGGCGGTGGGCCGTGGGGGTACGTGGCAAGCCAGATGTTCGATTTGTGGCGACTCGATCGCGGATTGAGATCCGCTATTGGTTCTGCCCTAGTTGGGCTCATGCTAATGCTATGGCGGTTGGCGGTGGTCGCTGGTCGTGGATGAGAAGTTTCCTTTTCTAAGACTAACTCCAACCCTTGCTTGCAAATTTGGAGAAAGTGAACATTTTGCATTTTTTCATCTCCAACCCACCTTCAATTTTGCTTCCAAATTTGGAGAATGGAGTGTTGGGGTGGATAGATAGAAGCCTCCATGGAGCAAAGGGGCAAAAATAGCAGCTGGAAGGGGGACCCCGCGTGCAGGCGAGGGCCACCCGCGGAGGCGTCCTCCCGCGCGCGTGCGGCCCAGGCGCGCCTCCGCGGGTGGCCCTCGCCTGCACGCGGGGTCCCCTGCTGCTGCTTTATTTTTTTTTTCATTTTTTGTTTGCGTTTTAGTTTGTGTGGGTGTGTTTGCGTTTTAGTTTGTGTGGGTATGTTTGCGTTTTAGTTTGTGCGGGTGTGTTTGCGTTTTAGTTTGTGTGGGTATGTTTGCGTTTTAGTTTGTGTGGGTGTGTTTGCGTTTTAGTTTGAAAGAAGTAATATAGTGACAATAAAACGGTCACATTGCAACAGACACATTTTAACGGCCATAAAAAATGACTAATTTGCAAAAAAAAAAATTATCTCGGAATTAAAAAAAAATTACATCGAAAATTTTGTTTTCACAAGTAATAACAAACTATAAAAAAATTAAAGTGAATTACAAGAATGATATTGTAAATAAGTATGGATTATGGAAATTAAATCAAAAAAAGATGTGGGAAGCTAAATTCGGAAGCTTTTAGGGTTGGAGCAAAAAGGTGTTTTGGGGAGGCAAATATGCACAGTTGAGAGCTTGGGAGGCTAAATATAGCTTTTGGGGTTGGAGTTAGTCTAACTTCGGAGTTAACAACTCCCCAGTGTTGTGGATAGTCGCAGTCAAGTGTCAAATATAGTCTGGGTCTCTTCGGGTCTTCGGGAGGACTGATCTAGTTATAGTAGATGCCGAAATAATATTCCAACTCCACGAACTATTAGTAAACGGTATATGCTTCACGATTGGACCTCTCCCAACAGTTCGAGTTATTGTGATCAACTGGTTCTTGACACGAACAAGCTTAATAAGAGGTGTTGGAAGGGATTGGAAAATTAGTTAGAGACAACATTATTGTAAAGTATACAGATATGTGTTAGCTGATTCACAGACAAAAATCGATCGACGTAGAAATTTCAGATGCTCAGTTCCGGAAACTAAATGCGGGCTTTAAAATTTTGGAGGCCCGTGAAATTGTATAAATGAATTTTTCCTGAAGACCAAAATTAAACGTACTAGTTCACTGATCTTATTGCTTGAGGCCAACATTGTTTTAGGGTTCCAAAATCAGTTGTTGTGGAATGCCAAAACTAAACCCATAATTCACTATAGTTTGATGGACTGAGGCCCCAAAATTTCTTGAAGCACTATGTCATTGAGAAACCCCAAAATTTGTGAGATCATGTGCCATTGGGCCTGTTCACATAGGTTCAAGACCAGCCCTCGTGAGAGACTAGTTTCACTATACTTGAGGACATTGAGAATAGATATAACACATTCTTCATACTCTCTAACAATAATTTACCTTGAAAAAGAAAAGGTTATAAACCATGTCTAAGACAATAAAAAAAAATGTGCATAAGCCTTTACAGGGTGGGGTGATATGTCTTCACGTCGATGTCATATAATTTGTATTCAAGTTATAGAAACAAGAGGGTATATGAAAGTGCTATGTCTAATGTGGATATAAGGGCATACCTATTGCCTAGGAGACTGCGGTCGGCTGAAGATGCAAGTCTTGAAAGATTCTTCTGTTGCGTTCCAGCCAAATCTGCCAACAAGTTGCGTGAAGAATACAATAGCGAACCCAATCGGAAGTGGCATCAAGCACCTCGCTATCCCAGCCTTGGATGGTTGAGAGAATGTCTCCCCTAGGCGGGTTAATGATGCTGCAAGCTTTCCTGTTTTCGGTCCAGACATCCTTTGTAAAAGAGCAATCAACGAACAGGTGATCAGCTGATTCTTCTCCACTGCAGCACAGGGCACACCGATTGGTGATAGACCAACCACGCTTCTGCAAGAGATCCATCGAGGGAATCTTCTTGTGCGCCACCAACCAGACGAAACTGCAGATTTTGGACGAAATGAGCTTCCTCCAAACAGACACGGCGGGGAAGGCATCCATTCCTTGAAATTTTTCATTCATCAGGGACCAAAATAGTCTGAGATGTCGAAGACCCAAGCAGTCGGTGAGGAGGCGGCAGTGGCAGCTCTCGAGAATGTGTAAGCAAGAATCATGTTTGGAACCCAACAATCTCTCCAAAAAGAGGTCCAGGCACCTCCTCCGGGGTCGATATGAACATACTTCCAGAAAGTCCCATATTCGCGGGTAATGTTAGCCCAAACCGAGCCTGAGAAACCGTTGCTGCATTTGGCACTTTGCCAAATAGAGTGGTCATTAGGATATTTAGCCATGATCAGGTCTTTCCACCAAGAGTTGTTTTCTGTGGCAAATCTCCACAGCCATTTGGCAAGCATGACCTTATTGAAACTTTGAATGTCGACAATCCCAAGCCCACCCATCTTCTTAGAAGCTTTACAAAGATCCCATCTCACAAGAGGAACCTTCCCATTTTCCGCCGTACCGCTAAATACAAATCTCCTTTGAATTTTCTCGATTCGGTGCACCACCTCGGCTGGAGCCTTGAGTAAAGAGAAGTAGTAGGTCGGTTGGCTAGGTGTCACTGAACGCCGCCAACTCGCTCGAGTGCCTAGCAGATGGAGCAGTTCCTATACATAACCTTATGGTGAGTAACCATGAATAATCCAATCCAATCATTATCCGCCACATCAACGCCTCTTCTCTTTCCTGTAAAACCTTTAATTTTCCCACTTAATATTTAATGGACGACTCTCACTCGTTTTAAGTCAAAAAATTTTTTTGCATAGTTAGATCAGATTAATTTTGCTCTTCAAAATGACATCCACTTTGATATATTTTTGGAACAAAAAAAATTGACCTATTTTTTACCAGTATATATCATATGGTATTGAATGGTATTATATAAGAGCATACCATATGGTATGAAAAAACTTACCATGGTAATATAATATACCAAGACTGTAGCATGATTGAATATATGATAGTAGGAGTATAGTAACTGTCATATTCGACTTTCAACATTGTGTACCACAAGATACCACCTCGTACCAGGGTGGTATTGGGTGGTATTTTTTTGTCATGTATTTTGTTCATCCAGAAATTTGTAGATACAGATCATGATGAACTCGTTCCTTCTGTGCAAAATTTTAAAAAAATGACTTAAAAACGAAAAAGATACAATATGGTATGTAATTGGTAACAAGAGGCAAGCAATTTTTTTTCTCAAAAAATTTTGAAAAGTGATCTCATTTTATTGAACATAACGAACTCATTCCATCTGTGCAAAAAAATTTGAAATCCGAGTTAAAACGAAGAAGATATGAGCCGGTTAAAATAACAAGGGAAAATAAAAATGTCTTTAATTTTCCACGTTTAGATTTGTATTTTCTAGACCCATTTAAATATGATAGATGAGATTTAGTTACTCATAGTGAGTAATCATGGGGTTACTGACGGAAAATTGAGCCCCTAGCAGAGGTAGAGGAAGAGTAGAATGAGGTGGGTGGCATTGGAGATTTGAGTAAAAAATACATTAATTAAGAATACATCATCAGTGATATTTTTGAAATTTAATTGAATATCATAATCATAATGATTATTTTGCATGATATATTGAGAATGATATCCCGAATAATTTGAATAATAATTGTATTTTATAAATTGTCTTCTAATATAAGAATACATCATCAGTGATAAAATTGATAATACAAACTGTTATCATATATTTTTTCAAAAATATCAAATCCATTTTACAAAGAATTGGTAGTATTTTAGCGATTTTAAATTAGTAGTGATGGCCGAATTTTAGTAGCCATCACTACTAACAATAGTAAACTATAAATGAAAAAATTACTACCAACAACAATGTGAATGGGATTGAAGATCATGGAGCTGCGGCAGAAAATAGAGATGATGATCATAGAGAAGAAGAACTAAATGGACAGAGCTTCCTTTCACTCAGCTCGGTATCAAGCAACATACTCAGCGATGTTGTTTGTCTAAGTGGTTAATGACTGCCACATGTCTTACAGTTATTTGTTAGTTTAATTGTCTACTGTTATTTAGCTGTTAATGTACAGTTAAGTACTCTACTCCATGTATATATAGAGAAATCCCATAGAGGATAGGACATGATGTCAATTCCCACCATGGCATGAGTTTCTTTCTTCCTTCTGCTTTTAGAAATCCTAGCTCACAATTCCCATTATGAAGATCCCTACAACAATCCCTTATACCTTACGTAGAGTGATAACTCGTTACTGCCTGTCATCAGATTCAAGCTTAATGATTCACAATTATTTGTCATTAGTATCAGGTACCTGATACTGTAAACACGCAGAACTGCGGAAAGTAAATGGAGACGGTGATTTACATGGTTTCCCCGAAGATCGGGACTAGTCCACGGAGAGCATAGCTCTCGGTATGGTTTCACTATCGAATTGTTGTATCAAAGAAACAAGCCGCTCACTCTCTTAGCTTAACCTAGTGAGTTCGGCCAAAAC